GCTCGATAATAGGATGCCCACGCGTCTCTAAGCAAAAGAGCTTGAATAATATGTCTACGCGTCTCTGAACAATAGGGCTTTGATGATATGTCCATGCGTCTCTGAACAATAGAGCTTTGATGATATGTCCACCCGTCTCTGAACAATAGAGCTTTAATGATATGTCCACGCGTCTCTGAATAATAGAGCTCTAATACTTGAATGTTTTTTGCGATAATATTCCGAAGAAATCTTCCGAAGACCAACGCTTGTTGATCTTTAAAGCTCGCTTGAACTTTGCTTCCGCTCTGCCAGTACGTCGGCGCTTTTGCTTCTTGTGAACCAGTATGTCGGTGCCTTGTGATGAGCCAATGTTTTAGGCGCTTTAAGCTAAGTGAGACGATCTTTATTTAGGTCGATCACTTATTGCGATTGTAATCAAGCCGCCTACTTAATCATGTCAAATTGCTTATAGGGGCTAACTGGCGTACCAAGGAACCCTAAATTGCTGAAAGAGGTTAAAATAACTACTCTGAGTGGTTAAGTGTTTTTTCGCTGTCGCAATGCCTCTGGTGCCGCGATTTGGCTCTGTCTCCAGACGCTGAAATCTAGCGCAAGGCGCTGAAATCTGTTGCCAGAGGTTAGATGTTGTCGTCTGGCGCTGGAGTCGGGTCTTCCCTATTCTGCTCTTGCTGCCGCTTTATATTTGACTATAGGACTTTGCTAATATCTTTAATTATTTTAGGGTTGACATAAGGTTTAATGTCGCTTGACTCATTGACTTGACACGACTCAAGGTATAAACTTGACTCGCTGTGATTGACTCGAGGTTGACTCGACTCGAAGTGAAATGACACGTGTGACTCATGACCCGTGTGTGCATTGTATTATGATTGTGCGACTCGAAAATGAAAAAAAGAAAAAAAAATTCCGTCATTTTTATGGAGGGTACCGACTTTCTCCCAAAAAAGAAAGACACGAAAAAGAATCAAAGTGAAGTTTTTGAAGGTGCATGTTGAATAATGAGCTTAGTCAAATGTTGTTTCTCACAGTACAAGGATTGTAACATCTTAGACTATCCTAGTTGACTTGATAATGAAAGTATTTTGGTAACTTAGGCACGGAGGCTAAGCACTTCATACTTCGATGTAATGATGATTATGATTGATGAGTGATTTTGATATGACAATACATGCTTCAACGTTGTGTTAAGATTTCATGACAAAGGGTTCCTAAGGGAAAGTATATTTGGCCATGTATCTGTGCAGTGTGTGAAAGTGACACTAAAGTTAGGCTGCAAGGGCTAAGTGTGTGGGAAAATATTATTTCAAGAAGAGTCAAATGATGGCAACTCTTTAGGCTAGGTAAGCTAATGATGTAAGGATCAAGCCCCCAAGTCTAGCTCTAAGTAGATAGGGATGAGCATTGGAGATCCCTTGATATGATCATGGTGTAAGTGTGTGAATGTGAATATGAACGCATTTTTATTACGGTCGCACCTCGATGTGAGGTTGCCTACATATCCGTTAGGAATCAGGCCGAACGTAGCTCTAGCCGAACCTCGCACAAGTGTGTGTATACCTCAAAAAGGTCTTTTTAAGGGTTGTAACGTGGTTAGGATAAAGGTTGAAGAAGAAGGGGATAAAAAGCTCAAGACCCTAGATAAGCCCCCAAGGTGTGCAACTTTGCTTTTGATATATTTTTGTGCTTGAGGCTTGCTTCTCTTTTCTCCTTTTTTTTTTTAATGCTTTAGCATTTATTTTTATTTTTATTTTTATAAGTGTGGGCAATCCCGATCATGCGGTCTATCACTCACTTGGCATTCATGTTTCTCAGGCACGGTACCGAGCACTCGATAAGAGACGCAATCTGAGACGTGTTCATATCAAAGACATGTTCATGTCAAAGACATTGGAACACTTGCCCTTTTTGTACACTTTTATTTATTTTTTTTCTTATTTTATTTATTTTTTGCTATTTTAATCTTTTGAAATCACTCAAGCTTTTTGTAATTGCATAGGTTACACACCATCTGATAGGCGTGTCGCGTACCTAACAAAAATAAACCTAACTAGACCACTACTATGTAGACGGGCAAGAAAGGGTCGGATCCCAAGAGACTATGATTCAACTAATTAAATAGACTCAAGCAATTACTAAGCAAGTAAACAATTCAAATAAGTGAGAATCAATAACTAAAGAACTAATTAAAACGATTAAATCTAAGTAATATGACAAATCAATGCTAAAAACATCCAAGATCAAGCATCACCACGAATACAATTAATGCAATAGTCGTTCTACCCCTAACACATAATTCAATTGATTAATGAGGAAAAGTAATCCATGAATAATACCAATGGTCTTTCCCGAGTTATCAATGGCTTCTCTAATCACAATCAAGCCTACTTCCGTGGAATCATGTAAATTAAAGACCTTAAGAACATTACTTTAACTTCCTAATCATCCATTCAACTACTCCCGTGATGAACTTCAAACCCTTAATTGATTTATTCAAATCCGTCAAAACCCAACTCCCGTTGCGATTAAAACAAAGGATTAATAACAATACCAATTATCCCTAATCTAGTATTGGCATAAGCACAATCAATTAAGCATATCAATTACAATTATTATTAGAGAATTTAAAGAATTAAATCATGCATTAATCATATTCGGGTTCCGCTAGATCTTGGAATAAAGAAACTACTCACACATATTAATGAAAGCAAAAACAATAATCAATGAAGAAAACATGATTAATAAGTAATTAAAAGTAAAAGAAGAAATAAAGATGAATACCAATTGCTTGAATGAAGAAAAGTACCAATTGTTGATGAACAAAGATCAAAACTTGAAAGTGCAAATTAATCTAGATCTAGAGAGAATAATAGGGTTCTAATGAAGATTTTAAAGCTAGAAAATAATAACTAAGTATATTTAATCGGGGTTTACAATGGGTATTTATATCCCTTAATTAATAAATCCCGAGAAATAAGAAAACGGGCTTCACAAAACTCCGCCTAGTTAGGCCGGGCAAAGCCGCCCGGTCGGGCGCGACACACAAACTCGCCTCCTCGCACAATACTCTGCCCGCCCGGTCTGCCAGGGCAATGTCGCCCGGGCCGGGCGGATAGGAGTTGAATTCTTCACTTCTTTTTTCTTCACCCTGGTCGCCAGGGCAATGTTGCCCTCCAGGGCGATGGGGGTAAGATACATCTATGTACTACGTTCCTCTTCTCTTCTCCTTCCTTTGCCCTGGCTGCCTGGGCAATGTTGCCCTGCCAGGGCGGACACGGGTATCATCACTCTTCCATCTTAACAAACTCTTGTGACCATCCAAATTAGTCTCGTTCATCCTGAAATACATCAAAAACAACGAAACTACCCATAAAAGCACAACATGATCACAACCAAATCAAAATAAGATAAAATAAGCTATGAACAATTAATCTAAGCTTGAAAACTACCTAAATGAACTCTAAAAACACGCTCAATATACGACTTATCAAACTCCCCAAAGCTTGACCAATGCTTGTCCTCAAGCATTGAAACATAGAACACAAGAAGAGTAGGATGGTCCCTCAAGCAAGAATATATGTGCGAACTAATTAAAACCAAGTGGAAAAACAAGAAATGAAAGTTAGTGATTATAAAACCACCATATACTTCAAGCATTCGAAATTGACAACCAACCTTTCCACACATCTCCCCTAACCAACTCAGTCATATATGAATAGCATCTCACTTTAGTTGTGCAAATAAAACAAATAAGCCACTCATGTGTTTATAAGTGTTAGAATAAGAAATCACTCATCCTAATTGCAATTATGCACGTCGACTTCATGCAATTGTCCTCTTTAGATTTGCTCATAGATTTTCTCCACTTGTAATGCGATGATGCAAGTACAGAAGTCATGAGATCCTTAATAAGGGTAGGCTTGGTTATATGGGGTTAGACGGATGTCATTAGGGAATGTGGTGCTCAAAAATAACAAAATCTTAATCCCACTACATAACCAAATGTTGGGTTCAAACCAACCTTATATCCTCCGCACAACATATAAGCATGCCCTTATTTTTATTCACAAGACAACATAAATTTCCATGACAAACATTGCTTCTTTTTTATTCATTCTCATTTTCTCATTTTTTTCAATTTTTTTTTCTTTGAAACTTAGAGCATACACAAACTTATTTTTTTTGAATTTTTTCATTTTTGCTCTTTTTTTTTCTAAATTCTTTTTTTCTCTTTTATTTTCCAAACAAAACTCAAGAGGGCATAAATAATACATTGATTCTCCATCAAATAAACCTACAAAAAGGCTCTAAGGCATAAAATGTAAGGCGTCAAAGAAGGGGAATCATGGCTCAAATTGGTTCATCCTAAGAGTTAATGTAAAATAAAACGAAAATAGAATAAGCATCAAACACCTAAGAAGTTTTGGCTCAAATTATCTAAAAGGAACTTCAATAACTCTTCCATATTGCATCATAAGTCTCAAATAATCGCAAAGCAAATCCAAGAATCATATTACATGAAGGAAAATCTAACACACATGAAAAAAGAATGGCTGAATAAGATGTATCGGTCAAAAATGGCTCAAAAGTCTCACATAGGTACTCAAGCTATCCATATTGGTCGAGCGGGGAGACCCTTCTAGCCACAAACAAGTTCAATTCCAAATCAATCAGTGAATGGGTTTTCAAAAACAAGTTTTTTTCAATTTTTAAAATCACACATATATTACATAACATCATCGAGGCATAGTCGTATAAAGAACCCAAAGCAGAAAGTAATCCCTCCCCAAGCTAAACTTCACATTGTCCTCAATGTGAACATATATCGAATAAGAACAGGCAAGGGAAAAAGAAAACTAGGCCCTACTGGCAGAGGAGAGATCATACCTAAGAAAATAAAACAAAAAAGAAACTAAAAGGAAAATAAAACAAAAAAGGAAATGGGTTGCCTCCCATTTAGCGCTTGTTTAAGGTCTTTAGCTCAACCCCTCTTTAGTAGCTCAACCTGGGTCACCACAAGAAGAAGATACTCTGTGGTATTTCTCATCAATATATCCACCTCCAAACGACTCCTTCAAATTAGAGTTGATGTGCTTTGTATTCGAATTGACCTTCATGTAACTAAACCCATCATGTGGTGGAATATTGTCCTTTTTGCTCACAGGATTTCTATTAGAAATACACTTATCAACCAAAATGTTAGTAGCATCGATTCTCAAACAAGTACCACCATCAAAAGTAAAATTATGGTCATTGAAAAGCTTAAACACAACTTGTTTATCCCGAGCTCTAATGGTCACTTTTCCTCTAGGAACATCTATTAAAGCTTGACTTGTAGCAAGAAAAGGGCGACCAAAGATGAGTAGGATCTTATGGTCTTCTTTCATATCCACCACAACAAACTCAATAGGAAAAACAAGTTCACCAATCCCAACTAATACATCTTCAACTACACCCTTAGGGAGTCTAACAGTTCTATCAGCCATATAAAGAGATATAGGAGAGGGTTTAAGGTTTTTCAAACCTAATTTGTCATACACTAAAGAAGGCATTAAGTTAACACTTGCACCTAAATCACACAAGACCCTATCAAAAGTTGTTTCGTTTATCTTGCAAGGAATAGTAAAACTACCAGGATCATGCAATTTAGGTGGTAGGTTCTCATGTAAAATATCAGAGCCATGCTTCTTCACTACCAAATTTTCTAATTCCTTATTATTATGATTATGATCTAGAATTCCTTTCACAAATTTTGCAAATTGAGGCATTTGAATCATAAGATCTGAAAAAGGAATGGTAGCATATACCTTCTTAAGAGTCTCATAATATTTCCCAAAATGCTTATCGAGCACAGCTTTTGATAACCTTTGCGGGAAAGGCATCGGTTCCTCATAGGCTTGTGGAGCAACATATTTGGGACCTTCATTCTCGCGTATTTCAGTTTTCGACTCCAGATTGCACACTTTCTCCTCTAAACCCCCCGTAGTCAATCCATCTCTCTTCACAAAAACTGCATTGCATTGTTTCGTTTGGACTTTTGCTTGATCTTGAAGAGTTTTTAGATGACTCACTTGCTGTGAAAGTTGAGAAAGATGAGTCTCTATCCTCTTATTTTGAGCGGTGAGCAATTGGATTGAGTTTTTGAAGTACTCATTTTTCTTTGCTTGTAGCTCAAATTGCCTTGATATAAGCTCTTGTTGTTGAATTTGGGAGGTAGTAAAAGCCTTCATAATTGATTCAAGATCAAATTTTGAGGTTTGGGGTGGTGGGAGTTGTGTGGATTGATGATTGAAAGGTGCCCTTGATTGAAAAGTAGGTGGTGGTTGAGGATTCACTTGAGCCTGATTGTTCATATATGAGAGCCCTTGATGATTTCTCCACGCTTCATCAAATGGCCTTGTGGAGGTTGTGGTATAAAAAGCATTAGCTTGCTCAATCGTCATTCCATCATAATTAGGTTGACACTCCCGTGCAGTATGGCCTTGCAGTCCACACATCTGACAAGTTTCCATCGAGGGTCGAGGGGACTCAGCTTGGATTTGATTGACCTTATGAGTTAATGCCTGCACAAAACTAGTCAACATGGTTAGAGCATCAACATCATGTTTATTACCTGTGTTGATAGCATTTCGTCCCCTTGGATGGTAATTATCATTAGCCGCCATCTTCTCAATCAAATCCTTTGCATCGGTTGGGTTCTTTGTCATGATAGAACCTCCAGACGCAGCATCAATATATATGCGAAACTCATAGGTCAAACCATTATAGAATGTTTGGATCAACATCCATTCTAGAATACCATGGTGAGGGCATTGTCTCTACAATAGCTTAAACCTTCTCCATGCCTCATATAAAGACTCGTCATTAGATTGATGGAAGGTAGATAGCTCGTTCCTTAATTTTGCGGTTTTCTCTTGCCCCAAGAATTTTACTAGGAAGGCCTTAGCAAGCTTGTCCCACGTATGAAAGGAACCAATACCTTCATCTCGTAGCCACTCCCTTGCCTTATCCCTTAGTGAAAAAGGGAAAAGGCGTAGTCTAATAGCATCATCAGTGACACCCTTGAGCTTCATAGTGTCACACTTCTCCAAGAAACTATCAATGTGAGTCACAGGGCAATCATTTGATGAGCCCGCAAAAGAATCATTGGAGATGAACTGTATAAATTGAGGATTCAACTCAAAACTCTAAGCGGTGATAGGTGGTCTAACAATACTGGAGAGAAATCCGGTTGTTGTATCCGGAATACCATACTCCAAAAGAGATTTTTTTCCTTGGTCGACCATGTTTCTTATATTTCGATTTCTCCTTATTCTACCTCTTTGTCTTCTTGAAGTAGCTTCGATCTCAGAATCAAAAGGTGTTAAATCATCTGAACCTGAACTTCGAGTTTGCATGCAACAAAGAAAATAAAACGGGAGATCAAATACACAAGGAACAATAGCCGAAGCAACAAAATATATGCTTAGTAAAACGAATCACCAATAACTAGAATGAAACGTTAGTCCCCGGCAACGGCGCCAAAATTTGATAGGCGTGTCGCGTACTTAACAAAAATAAACCTAACTAGACCACTACTATGTAGACGGGAAGCAAGGGTCGGATCCCAAGAGACTATGATTCAACTAATTAAATAGACTCAAGCAATTACTAAGCAAGTAAACAATTCAAAAAAGTGAGAATCAATAACTAAATAACTAATTAAAATGATTAAATCTAAGTAATATGACAAATCAATGCTAAAAACATCCAAGATCAAACATCACCACGAATACAATTAATGCAATAGTCGTTCTACCCCTAACACATAATTCAATTGATTAATGAGGAAAAGTAATCCATGAATAATACCAATGGTCTCTCCCGAGTTATCAATGGCTTCTCTAATCACAATCAAGCCTACTTCCGTGGAATCATGTAAATTAAAGACCATAAGAACATTACTTTAACTTCCTAATCATCCATTCAACTACTCCCGTGATGAACTTCAAACCCTTAATTGATTTATTCAAATCCGTCAAAACCCAACTCCCGTTGTGATTAAAACAAAGGATTAATAAAAATACCAATTATCCCTAATCTAGTATTGGCATAAGCACAATCAATTAAGCATATCAATTACAATTATTATTAGAGAATTTAAATAATTAAATCATGCATTAATCATATTCGGGTTCCGCTAGATCTTGGAATAAAGAAACTACTCACACATATTAATGAAATCAAAAAGAAAAATCAATGAAGAAAACATGATTAATAAGTAATTAAAAGTAAAAGAAGAAATAAAGATGAATACCAATTGCTTGAATGAAGAAAAGTACCAATTGTTGATGAACAAAGATCAAAACTTGAAAGTGCAAATTAATCTAGATCTAGAGAGAATATTAGTGTTCTAATGAAGGTTTTAAAGATAGAAAATAATAACTAAGTATATTTAATCGGGGTTTACAATGGCTATTTATATCCCTTAATTAAGAAATCCCGAGAAATAAGAAAACGGGCTTCGCGAAACTCCGCCCGATCGGGCGCGACACACAAACTCGCCTCCTCACACAATACTCTGCCCGCCCAGTCTGCCAGGGCAATGCCGCCCGGTCCGGGCGGATAGGAGTTGAATTCTTCACTTCTTTTTTCTTCGCCCTGGCTGCCAGGGCAATGTTTCCCTCCAGGGCGATGAGGGTAAGATACATATATGTACTACTTTGCTCTTCTCTTCTCCTTCCTTTGCCCTGGCTGCCTGGGCAATGTTGCCCTGCCAGGGCAGACACGGGTATCATCACTCTTCCATCTTAACAAACTCTTGTGACCATCCAAATTAGTCTCGTTCATCCTGAAATACATCAAAAACAACGAAACTACCCATAAAAGCACAACATGATCACAACCAAATCAAAACAAGCTAAAATAAGCTATGAACAATTAATCTAAGCTTGAAAACTACCTAAATGAACTCTAAAAACACGCTTAATATATGACTTATCACCATCCCATCCCAAAGTTAGGTAGATATGGGTAGAAAAATGAATGGTCTATCGTTAGGCGAGGCTCAAAGTTGTGTATGAAGAAAGGATTGTAAATTAGAAAGGTGAATGGCAATATGATGTGGCTACAAGGGGTGCCTCAAATCATTGGTATACCTTGTGCTTAGTTTGACATGGAATTTTTTTAAATATTTTTTTAATGTAATGAAATGATCATATGCAAGAACATAAATGCTCATTTTTGTTAAAGGAAAAGAAATAATGATCCTACAAATAAATATAAGGGGAATAAAAAGGTGCCTATGCTAGACTTATTGGGGAAAGGGTAAATAAAAAATAGAAAAAAGATCATGAAATCTTGTCGTTGAAGCTTGCGTCTTGCCCCTTGGATAATCATCACTTGGTGTTCTTGCCGACTGGAGGTATTGGAAGCCCGTTATTGTCGACCAAATATTGGATTGCTTCCTTTAGCTTCCAACAACTCTCAGTAGTATGACCCCTACCTTGATGGTACCTGCAGCGTACATTTGGGTTCCAACTAGGCAATCTCTTCTCAAGTGGGGGATCTTGAATGGGTCCAATAGGAGTAATGAGTCCCTTTGCATGGAGTTGATCGAAAGCATCATCGTAGCTAATTCCTATAGGGGTGAAATCCTTTCTTAGTTGCTTTCTAAATCCTCGATTATCCGTGGCTAAGATTTCATTAAGGTCGAAAGTACCAATATTGTTACTAGAGTAGGTGTTTTCGGAAGAAGAAGGATAGTCGTTCTTCTTTCCTTTACAGCCACTGTTGTTATTGTTATTGATCTTGGCCTTCTTGTCGCGCGAGGGAACATGAAGGAGATTTGAATCAATGAGTTCTTAAACACGATCTTTGAGGGCGAGACATGCTTTGGTGGTGTGACCACGACCTCTATGGTATTGGCAATAAGAATTTGGGTCCCAATTAGGATACTATTTTACAGGCGGAGGGTCTTGACTGGGACCAATGGGGTGAATGAGACCTTGATCGTGAAGACAGTCAAAAGCTTCATTGTAAGTCATTCCTATTAGTGTGTATTCTTCAATGGTCCGTTTTGCCCGTGGCTTAGGAGCATTGAGTTCTTCATTAAATCCTTGGTGAGAATTTTGTTCGATAACCATCACCCGATTTGCTAGACCTTCTACCACATTCAAGAGCATGGCAACGACATCTTGCAGTTTTCGAACGTCCTCTTTTAGACTTGACGAGTCTTTCCTTGTATTATTAATAAAAATACTTTCACCCTCCTCAATCATGGCCACTTCATCAAGAAAGGTTATATAAGCTGTCTCGATCATGGGCTCACCTACAGGTGTGATAAGGAGTGAAGGATCGAAGGATGTTTGATCTTCTTCAATGGCTAGAATCTCAGAAGTTTTATTGTCATCAATCAGATCTTGAATAGCTTCTTTGAGTTTCCAACACTTCTCAGTATCGTGACCCTTTCCTTGGTGATATTTGCAATGTTTATTAGGATCCCATTTGGGTGGCCTGGCTTCTGGAACTGGATCTTTGATAGGCCCTATGGGCATGACTAGTCCTTTGTGGTGTAGCTTCTCGAAAGCTGTTTCATAACTCATACCAAGTGGAGTGAACACTCTTTTTGACCTTTGGATTCGTAATTTAGAGGTGTTCGTAGCATGTACTTCATTAATGGGAGAGGAAGAAGAAGGATGGTCGTTCTTCTTTCCACTCGCACTATTATCTTTCAGAAAGTCATTTTCAATGTCAATGCCTATATTATACACAGCCTTGAAATTATTCAAGTTGTGTTGGTATTTTAAGTGCTTTGCATATTTTTCTTGAAGGTTCTTGATAAACATCCTCACAGATTCTTTTTCGGTAGGAACCTTGACCATATTAACAGAAGTTTCCCTCCATTTGTTGAAGAAAGAAGTGAACCCTTCGTTTTCTTTTTGTTTTAACATCTCAAGTTGTCAGTGGTCTGTTTCGTCTTGAATGTTGCACTTATATCTATCTATGAAAGCGTTTGTTGTCGACTCCCAAGAAGAGGTTTTCTCTTTGTCAAGGGAAAAGAACCATTGTTGACAAACGGTATCAAGATATAAAGTAAATAAAGAACGAAAGACTTTCTTATCAATCCCCTTAATGTTCATTATGGTTTCAAAAGCTCTTAGATGAAAGTAAGGGTTATCTGTTGCCTTGAATTTTGGGATGTCGTTGGCATTGAACTTATGCGGAAGAAGTTCCTTGTCCACCGATACCCCTTGTGAACTAATGTCTTGAAATTTATAGTCACTAGATAGCTTGCTCAAGCTTTCTTGCATAAGGTTCATTTGTTGTTGCTTCACAGGGTCATCAATTTTGAGGGCTAAAGCCTTCAACGCCTCAGTCACGTCAGTCAATTGACTCCTAAGTTCATTAACTTCCTCATGAGTTGCCATTATCTTTTTAGCTTTCCTATTTTGACGAATCGGTTTATCAAAAAGTAAGAATTGAATACAGAGGTTGTCCTTGATTAATCGCCCTTCTCTCCTCGACCAAGTACTGTGGAAAAGGAATTTGGGGATATTCATTGTTAATTATTTGACTCAAACTCTATTCAACATGCAATGGATGGAGGAAGTAAAGAAAGATGATGTAGATGGAGGGATATGAAGAATTAGGAATGGAATGCACCCCCAACTCAAATGACGGAAAAAACTGACTCATGCATGAACCTATGACATGGTCATGGTGACATATACTCAAAGTGTGTTCTAAGACTAGTGAGTGTTAGTGACATGCTTTGACTTTTGTGTAAAACCACGGGACTTAGTGC